CGGTGTTAACAGATTAATGCGATTAGGGTTATAAAGTGTGAAACCCCGCAACTGTGTAATAATTAATTGTAGCCGTTACTTGTAGATTGTTCAATAAACCAATTAACGATCTCTACGGCGTCTTCAGTAACGGAACATGTTACAGTATTTTAATTTCTTCTCTGCTTCTTTTTGTACTACATTCCTATCCGATGGTACTGATATCTATATATATGCAAGTATATAAGTATGCAAGTTTTCTTTTGCTTGTTTTATTATTATTATTATTATTATTATTATTATTATTAGTAGTAGTAGTAGTAGTAGTAGTTGCAGTTGTTGNTTGTCTGGGAGTTCCTAGAGTGATGAGTGAACAGAAGGTACCACGGAGCATGGAACCACAATGCATTGTGATCAAATTTCTTGGAGAAAACGTCCCGTCTGCTGAAATTCACCACAGACTCCAACAACAGTATGGGGAAGAGTGTCTCTCATGGACCTGTGTGTTTGAGTGGTGTAAGTGCTTCAGAGAGGGCAGAGAGCACGTGGAGAATGAACCGCATGATTGTCGGCCGTGAACATCCGTCACTGAGCCAAACATTGATCGTGCAGACACGCTTATTCGTGAAAATAGGCGCATCACTATCAAGGAACTTGGAGCAGTGCTGTCCATCAGTGTTGGTAGTGTAGAAGACATCATGAAATACCACCTGCACTATCGCAAGGTGATTGCACTGTGGGTACCATGCACTTTGACGGACATGAACAAAATGGTGCGCATGCAAGCTGCCAGTCGTCTCCTACAGCAGTTTGAAGATGATGGTGATGCATTTTTGAAGTCTATGGTGACCACCGATGAAATGTGGGTGCACTACTTCATTCCCAAGTCCCAGCAGTCATCACGCGAGTGGCGGCATACCAGTTCTCCCAAACCCAAGAGAGCGCGGAGGAGCCGTTGGGCAGGAAAAGTGATGGCAACGCTCTTCTGGGACTGGCAGGGGGTTATCCATGTAGACTTTCTGACAGATGCCAGAACAGTCAATGCAGCTTATTACTCAGACCTCCTGGCAACAGACATGAAGGAAAAGATCTGATCCAAGCAGAAGACTCGTGGAAAGCGGTTAGCCTTCCTTCAAGACAATGCATGCCCCCATACGGCCAAAACAACAATGGAAACCCTCTGGAAATTGAAATGGAACCTTCTGACACATCCGCGGGACAGTCCTGATTTGGCCCCAAGTGATTTCTACCTGTTTGGAAGGCTCAAATCAGACTTGCAAGGCATGTGGTTTGAGGACAACGCTGCCATCATCCAGACTGTTTGGGAGTGGATACACCGTCAACCACAAGCCTTTTTTGAAAAGGGCATCAGGATGCTTCCAGAAAGTTGGAAAAAATGTGTTGACTCCGGAGGGGAGTATGTTGAAGACTGACATGTGCAAGTAAGTGTTTGGCAGTTATGTTTTTTTTTAAAAAAAATCAGTCCCGGTCATATTTGAACCACCATGTATAACAAAGCAAAGTTTTTTTATAAAATGATAATCACAAAGTACAGCAAACAGCTGTAGAATAAGTGACATGTAATGAGAACTTTAATATAGAGTGAAGGAGCATTGGCTTTGTCAGTTTCTTTACACTTCACTTATGGAAGAGTTCCTGTAAATTGAGGGAATGTTTTCTACACTTTTGTCATCATAAATGATTCCTAGCCAGCTGTGACTTTGCAACTATTTTCATTGCGTGTACTTGCAGATTTGCTCCCCAAGCTATTGGTTTTATAGATCTGGGTATTTGGGTATTGGTTCCTTATTTTAGAGGTTTTATTTGTTTTGAATTAGGTTTATTATTTTTCTTGTGCTGTACTAGTCTTGGTGTTTATACTGTTATGGTTGCTGGGTGATCTTCTAGTTCTAATTATTCTTTATTAGGATGTCTCCGGTCTATGACACAAACAATTTTTATGAAGTAAGTTTAGCCTTGATCTTTTTATCCTTTGTCTTTTTGGTTTGTGGTTATGATCTGTGGTCTGGGAAAATGAAGTCCGCATACCCGAATCTGAGAAAGGGAACTTGGAGAGGAATCCACTTTTTTCATTTATAGCATTTTAATTGGAGAAACTGTGAGAACTCCTTTATACATGATTTAAGTACAGTTTCAGCATACTAAAAATTCAAGTGAGACAATAAAAGAAAGAGGGAGAAATAAAAATGAAGTTATGGAAAATTATCTGAGTCTGCACCCCATACTGGGGCACTCTGAGACGTATTGTGAGCTACAGTCAGACATAATAAGAATAATTACAAAAGAATGTGAAAACTGTAGTTAAATTAGAGTAAAGTATTTATTTTCAAATACGAAATTAAAATTATGAGGTAGAATAGAAAATACGTTCAGTGTACATACTTACCCTCAAAATTGATACAAAAGGTGTAGGAATGGTTCTGCCATGCAGTGTGATGAAGTGAAATTGGTTTTGGTGGGGACATTACAGTATCAGACAACTCCATCAGAGCTTCATCATCGTCATTGTCGTCAAGGAAGACAAACATGTCTGTATTCTTTGTGTTACAAAGAAAACTGACTTTGAGGTTTGTTTTAGAAATTGTTTCTTTAATTTTGCCAGTGTGATGAACTATTTGTTTCTCCTCCCCACAGCAAGTTTTTAAGGTAGAGGTTTCCTTCTATAACAATTCCACTGCAGACTTTCAATTTTATCTCACTCAGGCATATCACCAGTGATCATTGTCCTTCCTTTTGCTCTTCATGCCTTGTTATTTTTATGGGCCCTGCTTTAGCATAGCTTGTGAATTGCTTTGGGCTTGTAAATGTAACTGTGATGCCCTTTCAGTTGCTTTTACGTAAATGAGCTCTGGTGATAATGTGGTTGTTGTCTCAGACAGCAGAATGTGAAGCCAGTGATTTCAGTGGTTAGTTAGTTAGTTATTGGAGAGGGTGGGTTTCCCCATGCACTTAGACCTGTATTGGTCCATTGTGCTTCCCTCTATGATTTCTACCAGTCTCTATATCCTACCGGTACTGGTGCTTACCAT